AGCTGATCCTGAATAGATTCTGAATCAGTTTTTTATTTTTTTAAGTAATGTTTTTTTTTTTTTTTTCGTTTTTTTCACGTATCAAAAGTTATAGTTGAATGGTTTTATTTTTACCCAGATAAACCTAGCTAACTAAAATCACCAAAGCTTAAAGGATTAGTACAAATCTGATATTAATAAATCCCCTGAAACATCATCTTCAAAACAAAAATTAAGATATTTTCGATTAAATTCAAGAGCTCTCCATAAACAAAAGGGTCCAGAGACATTCAAAGCGTAATAATTCATTTGATAAGTGAAAAAAGATATGGATTCAAAACATTACTAGTGACGTAAGTGGTTTAATTGCAATCATGTGAAGCTCCAAGAACAATTTTGAGCTAAAAAAAACCCCCAAAAAACTTTCACCTGAAGCAGGGATGTCCAAACTCGGTCCTGGAGGGCCGGTGTCCTGGAGAGTTTATATCTAACTTGCTTCAACACACCTGTCAGCAAGTTTCTAGTAACTCTAGTAAGAGCTTTATTAGCTGGTTCAGTTGTGTTTGATTAGGGTTGGAGGTAAACGTTCCTGGACACCGGCCCTCCAGGACCGAGTTTGGACACCTCTGACCCATAGTCTTCTCCATCAGATCAGGGTTAATTGTAATTTAATTTAGTTGTTATCGACTTGCTGAGGTCATAATATAATCTATAATATAATCTATATAATCCTTAAACACTCAACTTTTTTAAAACAAAGGGCTGCACGGTGGCGCAGTGGGTAGCACGTTCACCTCACAGCAAGAAGGTCGCTGGTTTGAGCCTCGGCTGGGTCAGTTGGTGTTTCTGTGTGGAGTTTGCATGTTCTCCCCGTGTTGGCGTATGTTTCCTCCAGGTGCTCCGGTTTTCCCTCTCAAGTCTAAAGAGATGTGGAACAGATGAATTAGGTAGGCTAAATTGTCCATAGTGTATGTGTGTGAACGAATGTGTATGGATGTTTTCCAGTGAAGGGTTGCAGCTGGAAGGGCATCCGCGGCGTAAAACATATGCTGGATACGTTGGTGGTTCATTCCACTGTGGCGACCCCTGATTAATAAAAGGACTAAGCTGAAATGAAAATGAATGAATGAAATAAAACTCAACGGCCTCCACTTTCAATTCAATAGAGCACCTTTGGGATGTGGCGGAACGGTAGATTGGCATTGTAGGGTCCAGCCAGTTGGTCCAATGACGGTATCCACTGGTGGATGAAGGTTCACTGCATGTTCTGTCTTTCCAGTGCACAATGTTGATTTATATTAAACTTAACTCATATCTGACTCCAATTTTAGTATGAGATGGTTTAGAATATTAATATATTTATCCTCGTTTTATCTGACTCCAATTATAAAACATTGAGAAGATTATTTAGTTTCCTTTCACATTATTTTAGATTATGATTGAATATTCTTTTGATTTGTTATTATACCTTATTCTCATTTACTCAGATTCCGATAGCATCTCGAGTCTTGCACCGGCCGGGTATACAATCTCTTAATACAAGCTTGTCAGTCTTGGTCATTAAACTGAGGCAATTAACCACTCTCCTAAAAAGGCAGAACCCTACTTACTCAATTTAGGAGATTTTTATGTGGTCCCCATAGATCTGTTATCTACTAATTCAAGACATTTTAATGTCTTGTATTTTAATAATAATCGCACAGGATTATACGTTTGTAGATGAAGGCCTAAATATCCACATTTAAATTAGTTTCAACAATATTTTGTTGTTCTAAATAGTTGCCCTTTTACAGTCCAAGTATACTTGAATTAATGCCAATTTATTAGTCGGATCTCTAACAACATTGTATAGCGTGCCACGCTGCTCCGTCTAACATGTTTTAGTCCGTTACTAACCTGTACAGTGGCTTGTAGTGCTATGGACAACAACATTTATCAGTGATAATAACACGAGGTTTGAATAATTCAAAACATTATTTATTAGTCAGGTAAATGTATTATGCCAAATTCAATCAGTCAATTCATAAACGATCAATACAAAACATCAAATTATCAAAGACAAATCCAAGATGAAAAAAAAAGCATTCCTGACTTCAAAAATATACATAACATGGAGCAAGCCGTGTTATGGGCTGATCTGGTTAGGCAGAATCGCCCTGAGTCTTTCTCAGACCTTGCCTTAAATAATCCAAGAATTCCCTCAAGGAAGGGGGTGTGAATAACAAAAGGCATTCACACTTAGGGAAAAGTCACACCCTTCACAGTGGTTCAAAAGATGCCTGAAGTTATATATTTATTGTTTTGATTATGTCTATTTCTGAGAGAATGAGACCATTGTACCAATCGCACTGAGACATTTCAAATGATATCAAACATGATAGTTAAAGTCAGTTTGGTTAATCTAGAACATTCAAACATTGAAATGACCATATGTGAGATGGGGTGGATGAAGCCGAGTTTCAGCAGACTCAGATGCAAATGCAGCAGGAACTAGTTTTTCCCGCATTCCCACCTGCTGGGTTGTTAAGTCACCAGTCTCTGTTTTCAGCTCATGTTTTGAATTGTCAAAGATATCAAAATATTTGCAATATTTCAACTCTTACAGCATCATGGATGTGCAGCCGACAGATCTGCAGCAACTGCGTAATGCTATCATGTCAATATGGAGCAAAATCTCTAAGGAATATTTAGAGCACCTTATTGAATCTATGCCATGAAGGATTAGGGCAGTTCTGAAGGCAAAAGGAGGTCCAACCTGGTACTAGGAAGGTGTACCTAATAAAGTGGCCAGTGATTGTATTAAGAAAATGTTGGAAATGTGTTGAACAGATCTTCTCTCCGTTAAACAGATATTGGGGAAATATATAGAAAAGACCTAATAGTGCTGACTTCAGTTGTACTTGTGAATGAATACATTTGATACACACACACACACACACACACACACACTGTCATACACGCGTCCACTAATGCAGAATGTGCATGCTTTAATGTGTGTGCAGTGATTTTACTGATTTATCTCAGGTGATTGTGTTCTGCGTCTGATATCTAGCACACACACACGTACACACACACTCATCGATCATACCTCAAACCGCTAACGGCGTACGCTAATACAAATCCCCGCTCGCGCTCCACTGTTTGCTGCTAATGCCTTTTAATGCGAGCGGCGCTCTGTTTGCGAGGCTTCTTTATAGCCGCAGCCACTGGAGCGAAGGCGCCATCGATCTCTGAGAATCTAATGATGGAAATCTCTCTCTTTTTCTGCGCTTATCAGAGCCGCAGCTTCCCAAGGCCTCCTGGCTTCACGCTGTAAACAGCATAACCCAGTCAATACAACAGCAGAAAAACCCATTTAAAGGATTTATGAGAGTTTGCACTCATGTAGAGGCATTGTTTTCTGAAATATACACGTGTTTGTGTGATTTAAGAGGACATATGGGTGTTTTACGGCCTTGTTGGAGTTTAAGCAAATGAAATCTGTTTAAAAAAACTTTATACAGTTTTTAAATCACTGTTCAAGGCAATTTTAACAATTGAATAAATATGAAGATTTGTTAATTTTAAATTCAGTAATTCAGTATTTTCTTTCTATTTTACTTTAGCCATTTGATTGCTTCAACACAAGGCAGTTTCATATTTTAATGTAGTAATTTAATTAAAATTATTTAACTTTTCTATTTAACAATGACAGCAACATTTGGCTTTTTTAGTTTGAGTATTTTATAATGCTTTTGGCATTTATTTTAATGCTCTTTTTTATTTTAGTTTATTCATTTAAATGCCTCAACACAAGCAGCGTTTCATATTTTTTCTTCATAATAGTTTCATTTTTAAAAATTATTCAGCTTTTTCATGTAACAATAACAGCGTCAATGCTGCCTTTTTAGTTTGAGTAATTTTGTTATTCTGTTTTAATGGTTTTATTTTAGTTTAGCCATTTGAATGCTTCAAAAAGGCATTTTTTCATTTACAAATGTATTTATTTATTTTTTAATTATTAAACTTTTATTTAACACAGAAAACAACATCAACTCTGCCTTTTTAGTTTGAGTAACTTTATAATGCTTTTATTTTGCCATTTTAATGGTTGTACTCTATTATAGTTTAGCAATTTATATTTTTTAACAGCGCAGCATTTCATATTTTAATGTAATCATTTTTACATTTTTAAAAAACTACAACATCAACACTGCCTTGTTTAGTTTTAGTAATTTTGTAATTATTTTTAATGGTTTTATTTTAGTTTAGTTTTGCCATTTTTTTCATTTATTATTATAATTTTTTTTCATTTTAAAAATTATTTACATTCTTAAAAAAAAAGACAACAGCATCAACACTGCCTTGTTTAGTTTAGGTAATTTTATAATTATTTTTAATGTTTTTTTTTCTATTTTAGTTTAGCCTTTTTATTTATTTATTCACTTTTGAAAATGATTTAACTTTTTTTTTTTTTTTTTAATACGATAACATCAACACTGCCATATTTTTTCTGTGGTAGAAATTTACATTTTTTTGCTTTACTTTTTCTAAAATTACTTGACAGTTTTTAATTAAATTTGTTTTAAAACAATAAATATTTAAATGGGTCATTTAGCTTTTTCTTAACAAAAGTAATTGTGTTTTTCTGTTGAATTTTCTATATAATTGTCCATGTAAAGGAAAATCAGGTCTGTTTAAACAAGTTTCATTTGAAAACAAAGTATAATAAATGAAGACGAGTTAAAAGGGTTGAATACAGATGTAATGTGACCTTCATACAGCTAAAAAGAAACAAAAGATGTAACTTTTAATAAAGCCGAGCCCCTGAGCCCAGAAGTGTCTATTTGATGAGACGTGCACATATAAGCATGCGTCTCTACTGTATTCCCCCATTTGTCTTTCCGCTCTAGCTGACTTTATTGCTTTCATTTGAGTTTGCATCATTTTTTGCATTGTTCCTGCTGTTCTCTGTCAAGCTCATTTAGATCTGGCCTCCATCACTTTCTCTCCTAACTGTATTTCTGCTCTGATCTCCTCAGGTATCGTCTGCATCGTGCTGTCGTTCGTGGATGATAAAGGCTGTGCGCTGTTGCTTACTGCTCAGGACGCCAGTGTTTCGGCTGTAAGAGGAGATGCCACCGCCATTTCCATCCAGCCGGACCAGTTTGAGACCTTGACAACCGTTGTCAAGGTGGACTCTCGCAACCAGAGCTCAGGTCAGAAGGATTCTGAAAACAAAATGGCTTTTAACACTCAAATCTATTTAGTCCTGGTCTTTTAACACTGGGTTAGTCTGAGGTCAAGTTCAATCCTTATCTTTTGATACTTGGTCATTGTAAACCATTAGAAACATAATCCTGGACAGTTAACCCTTGGTTATTGTAGACTCTGGCTAAACAGAGTCCTGGCTAATTTACCCCGGTCATTCTAGACTTAACTCCAGGTAATTCTTGACTTTAGGTAAACGAAGTCCTGGTCATTTAAGCCTGGGTTATTTTGGACTCTGGATTAACAGAGTCCTGGTTTATTAACCCAGGGTCATTCTATAGTCTGTGTAAACGATGTCCTGACGGCTTAACCCTGGGTTACTCCTAGATTCTTTGTAAATGGAGTCCTGATCGGTTAATCCTGGGTTATTCTAGACTCAGTGTAAATAGAGTCATGATCACTTATCCCTGGGCCATTCTAAACTCTGTGTAACCAGAGTCTTGAATGATTAACCCTGGTTTATTTTATAATCTGTGTAAATGGAGCTCTGGCTGTTTAACACTTGGTTATTTTTCTCTCCGGGTAAATGAAGTTCTGGTTGTTGTCTGGTTGTTTGTTTGGTCAATCTAGACTCTGATCTCTTAACCCTGGGTCATTCCTAGACTCTTTGTTAATTGAGTCCTGATCACTTAACCCTGGGTCATTCCTAGATTCTTTGTAAATGGACTACTGATTGGTTAACCTGAGGTCATTAGAAGTCCTGATCGTTAACCCTGGGTTATTCTAAACTCTTTGTAAATGGCATCCTGATCAGTTAACACTTTACTCTGGATAAATGGGGTGCTTAGGAATAACCTTCGGTGATTTTGGACTCTGGGTAAATGAAGTGCTGGTTGCTTAACCCTAGGTTGTTTTGGACTGTGTATAAGAATTAAATAATTTTTGGTCTGTTTACAAATTAATTAAATGGGTCATTTTAGATCCCAGTCTTGTAACCCAGAGCTATTCTAAACACAGTCTAAACATGATGGTAGTCTGTTAACCCTGTGTTTCTTTGGACATTATTTCTGAAAACCAGACAATATGTTTTGCTTGTCTAGAAAACGCTTCTCGATTTAGGAGTGTTTAGATGTTTGGACTACACTGGGTCATTCTGAAGCCAAGTGGAGTCCTTGTCTTTTTATCCTTGGTCATTGTAAACCATTGAAAACAGAGTCCCGTTCAGATAACCCTGGGTTATTGTAGACTCTGAGAAAACAGAGTCCCGGTCAGGTAACCCCTACGTTATTGTAGACTCTGGGAAAACAGAGTTCCGGTCAGGTAACTTTGGGTCATTGTAGACTCTGGGGAAACAGAGTCCCGGTCAGGTAACCCCTACGTTATTGTAGACTCTGGGAAAACAGAGTTCCGGTCAGGTAACTTTGGGTCATTGTAGACTCTGGGGAAACAGAGTCCCGGTCAGGTAACCCCTACGTTATTGTAGACTCTGGGAAAACAGAGTTCCGGTCAGGTAACTTTGGGTCATTGTAGACTCTGGGGAAAAAGAGTCCCGGTCAGGTAACTTTGGGTTATTGTAGACTCTGGGGAAAACAGTGTCCCGGTCAGGTAACTTTGGGTTATTGTAGACTCTAGGAAAACAGAGTCCCGGTCAGGTAACTTTGGGTTATTGGAGACTCTGGGGAAACAGAGTCCTGGTCAGGTAACCCTGGGTTATTGTAGACTCTGGGAAAACAGAGTCCCGGTCAGGTAACCCTGGGTTATTGTAGACTCTGGGAAAACAGAGTTCCGGTCAGGTAACTTTGGGTCATTGTAAACTCTGGGGAAACAGAGTCCCGGTCAGGTAACCATGGGTCATTGTAGACTCTGGGAAAACAGAGTTCCGGTCAGGTAACTTTGGGTCATTGTAGACTCTGGGAAAACAGACTCCTGGTCAGGTAACCATGGGTCATTGTAGACTCTGGGAAAACAGAGTCCCGGTCAGGTAACCATGGGTTATTGTAGACTCTGGGAAAACAGAGTTCCGGTCTTTTAACTCTGGGTTATTGTAGAATCTGGGAAAACAGAGTCTCGGTCAGGTAACTTCGGATTATTGTAGACTTTGGGAAAACAGTCCCAGTCAGTTAACCCTGGGTTATTTTAGACTCTAGAAAAACAGAGTCTTGTCAATTAACCCGTGATCATTCTAGACTGTGTAAACAAAGTCCTGATTGGTTAAACCAGGGTCATTCTAGACTCTGTGTAAATTGAGTTATTGTCAGTTAACAATGGGTTATTCTTAACCCTGGTTAAATGGAATTCATCGTGCCTAACTCTACTGTAGGTTAATTTGAACTCTGGATTAACAGAGTCCTAGTTTATTAACGCTGGGTCATAAATAAGACAAAGCTCTAAGTGAGACAAGTGTTTTAGCAGTGTATTGAAGGTGTATGTGTGCCGTAGGTGTTCGCGTGCGCTTTGACGTGTGGGAGCAGGGGAACATCGATCCTCTACAGCTGGCAAACAGACTGAAAGCTGCTCTACGCCACGCTCTCTGTGATGTTATTATGGAGATGCGTGTACTGCCCAGTCCACTGTGTCTGGACACCTTCTGCCTGCCCACTGCCACCCCGCGGGAGGAGAGCTCAGGTCAGGAGATCAGGCACATGCCATGCTTTCTGTCAGCTATGGCTTTTATTTTTACAACTGTTTCCTATTTACTGTATTGCACTTTTTTGTTATTTAGGTATTTTTAAAGTGTATTTTTAAACTAAATTTAAATAAAAAATGAAGTTATGCATTCAGCTTCCTATCACAAAAATAAGTTCAATTTATAACAACGTTACAATACAAAGATACTGTATTTTTGCTGTAAAAAAAGTGTTGTTATTTTTCGTGGTTCATGTTATGTTGAAAGAACCATGTTGGGTTTTAGCCCACTGTAGTTTTTCTTGCATTCAACTATTTTTGTTGCTGAAAATTAAGCTATTTCTATATTCTAAACTAAAATATAAAAATATGACGTAAAAGTAACAATAAAAATATTAAATTGATTAAAAAGAGATGAAATCTCAAGTCACTTAAAATAAGTTACATTTATAAAATAATTTCAATACAAAAGGCTTATTAACAGTATTACTATTTCATATATATATATATTTTTTTTTTTACATTTTTTACAGTATTTTTGTTGTAAAAAAGTGTTTTTTATTTATTTATTTATCATTTATTAATTAATTAATTTTTTGTGGTTCATGTTATGTTGACAGAACCATGTTGGGTTTTAGCCCAATGTAGTTTTCTTGCATTCAACTATTTTTGTTGGTGGAAAAAAACTATGTCTATTTTCCAAACTAAAATATAAAAATATTACATGAAAGAATTATATTTATAAAATTATAAAAATATTAAATTGATAAAAAGGAGTGAAAAAATCTCAATTTAATTATGTAATAAGTTACATTTATAAAATTACATTTAGAAGTTACATTTATAAAGTTTATAAAAAGGCTTTTCAACATTAATACTATTTACTATATTTATTTTTACATTTTTTTACTGTATTTTTGCTATAAAAGGTGTTTTTTGTGGTTCATGTTAGGTTATTATGTTATTATGGTAACCTGTCATGTTAAGTTATTTTGGGCCACTGTAGTTTTCTTACATTAAAATATTTTTGTTGTTGGAAATAAAGCTATTTCTATATTCTAAACTAAAATATTTTTCATATATATTACATGAAAAAATTCTAACAAAAATAATAAATATTATATTGATAAAAAAACTAAATCTTAAAAATTACAAAACTATGCTCAGAAAACAACTATACAATATTAATGATAATAATTGTATTATTATTAATAATGCATAACATTAGTAAATGCTGTTTCATATAGTAACATTTAAATGTGTCCTTTTGCTTATATTTCTTTACATTTATGAAATCATTATAATACAAAATGCTTTTCAACACTAATAATATTTCATTTTTTATGTTTTTACTGTTTGTTTGCTATAAAAACAATTGTTTTTGTGTGGTTTCTGATAAATTGAAGATGTGGTAAAGGCCACTGTAGTTATAAAAATGTTACATAAAAAATATTAAATTGATAAAAAAAGAGAAAAAATCTCGTTACATTAATAAAATCATTACAATACAAAATGCTTTTCAACACTAATAATATTTCATATATACTTTTTTATGTTTTTACTGTACTTTTGCTTTTGTGTGTGTGTGTGTGTGTGTGTGTGTGTGTGTGTGTGTGTGTGTGTGTGTTTTACACCACAATATTTTTGTTGGTGAAAATTTAACTATTTCTATATTCTAAGCTAAAATATCTAAAAAATACAGAATAATAATAATAAAAATATTGATAGAAAGAGAGAAAAAATCTAAGCCAAAACAATACTAAAAAGTATAAGAATGTATTCATAATAATTATTATTATTATTATTATTTCTTTTTATATAGTAATAATATTTAATTTTCAGCTTTTAAATACAGTTTTTACTCTATATGATCAAATAAATTCAGAGTGCTGCATTCTTGTTGTGTGTTCGGCTGTTGATCTGTTGTGTTTGCTCTCTGTAGTTCCCTTAAGTCTTGTGCCGTCAGACAGTAAGGAGCAGAAGAAGACTCCTCGGCGTCCCAGCACAGATCAAGCTCTCAGAAGCAGCCCGTCTCCCATCAGCCTGATCTCTGCACCCGCTTCCACCCCGACCACAGGAACCAGCACTCCCGAATCCACAACACCCACCGGGAAAAGCACTCGCCGCAGCTTCTGGGAGATGCTGGTGCGTTTTTACAGCTAATGGCTCTCAAAGTGCATCGCAAATCACATATTCATGACGCTATTCTACGCCAATATGTGGTAGAAATAGTATATAGTGTTCAGTTTTTATAAGTAAACCCCTCACAAATCTCTCTTTTAAACTCATATATTATAAAAGATTAAGCTATACAGTATTATATTTGAGCAGATACATTAGATTAGTCTGTGCTGAGGCCAAATCTGGAGCTGGTCCAACAAAATAACTCACGATAACCATCCAAAAGCTAGCACAGCCAAATTTATATGTTATAGAAAAATATTAAATACAAATTTAAACAGGAAAAATCAACAGAAACAAATGAAATTATGACTTAACTGAGTTAAATAGGTTAAAGTTAGGGTAATTAGGCAAGTCATTCTATAACTATGGTTTGTTCTGTACACACTCCTAAACAAATATTGCATAAAGGCGCTAATAGTTTTGTCCTTAAAGGGCCATGATACCCCCTCGTTTCAGCAGGGTGTTTTCACATCTCTACTTTGGAAAAAGTCAGAAAAGTGGGCGTGTCCAGCTCTGTTTAGGGGGGGAGTGTCGGAGGAAGAAAAGAGGCTTGGTGTGGGAGTGTCTATTTGGGCGCGCTGAATTTCAGAGTCAAAACACACACACACAGGGGACAAAGTGACTGTGTTTACATGGACATCTGTAGTCGAATTATTTGCCAAATTAATAAACGGTGGACTTTAACTGCAGTTTGGCTCTTTCAATCAGGGAATTCATTCATGTCCCTCGCTACAAACGAGATATTTGATTCGAGGCGCTGCTCTAAGTGTGTATTTTTCATGCAATGTTTGATACCGCACGGCGAATGAGAGAAAAAAACCTCCGCATTTCCCAAATACTTAGATGCACACGGCAGGTAGCGTCAGAAAGCCGTGTGTGTTATTCCGGTCACAAAATACGGTGAAAATCCTACATGAGGTTAAAGTTTGGTTGTGGTGCTGACATGTTTACACTCGGTGCAATAGTTTGTTCGATACAAACAAACTGAATAAACAAAGAGCACTGGTCGCACACTTACCAAATCTGTAGAGACAGGACAATCACCAGCAACTAGAGCCGCGTCTTTATTAAGAGGAGACTACAAGCGAATCCGGATCTCAGCGTTTGCAGATGAGAACAGCTCTCAGGTAAACAATAATCCTCCTTAGACACGTAATTTGTTGTCGAGCGTCGCGTACACTGTTAATCCACACGTGACGCCAGCTGCGCTCTCACAGAGAGAAAATGAAAACAAAACTGAACTGCAGCAAACTATAAAAGCAACACTTCACGCTTGTTTTGCCAACACAACGTGGCGTCTCTGTCGTCTAAACACTGTGACAGTAATGAATATTAATGAAGTTGCACAATAGAGCGCACTGATTGGTTTGAACCAAGCTTTACTCATGCATTAATGCATCACACTGTAAGACGTAATAAGACACACTCTGGCACAGACGCCCAGTCTGCACGCTGGAATACACGCTATTATGTCATGACCGTGACGCAGCTTCAAAAATTTGTTTAAAACCGGAAGTGCGAATTTGCTTGAAATAACGCAAAAACAACCAATTTACACTTTTTAGTGAAATATAGGTGTCCTAATAGTGTTTTTAGCAGTGTGGGACACATATACGACTGTCAACAGCTCAAAACATGTGTTTTGGTGTTTCGTGACCCTTTAAAATGGTTTTAAAATATTTTTAAACTTCTTTGCTTCTAGCAGAAATTAAACAGATAAGACTTTCTCCAGAAGAAAAAATATCATAGGAAATACTGTGAAAAATTCCTGAATCTGTTCAACATCATTTGGGAAATATTTAAAAAAAGAAAATCACAGTATGGCGAATATTTTTGTCTTCAACTCTGTGTGTTTGTGTTTGGTAGAGCAAACCAGAGACTTCTGAAATTGGCAGTCCGAAGACAACGGATGATATTATACCGGAGCGAGCGGAGGATAGTCGGATGGGAAGACGCAGACACAAGACGGAGAACGTCAAACAGTGGAGCCATGAGAAAGCCATGGCTGTGGAACAAGAGCAGGCTCAGAGGTACACACACACACACACATATATACACAAACACATATACACACACACACATACACACACAGAGTTATGCCTGAAAAATGATGTTTCCAGGTGCTTTGCTATGAAATATGAGCATGTTTAGATGGACAGGTCGACAAGTTATGTTCTCCATAGTGTGTTATTGTCAGTTTAAATTGCAAAATAAATGTAAATAATCTCATTAAATAATGCATAAATGTGGTTTGGTCAATTATATTAACTATACTTAAAAAATAACTAAATTACTTAAAAGAAAAGAGATTAAATTAAAGTATACATGTTGAAATAAAAATCTGTGAAAGCTGTGTATAAAGAATTAAAATAACATACAAAAAAGCTTGTTCTAATAATATTCTAATAACAGTCTATTTGTATTGGCTGAACTAAAAATATAAGTATTTGATTAAAAACTTCCCAAATGATCGTTTAATTTTTAAGTTCATTCATTTATTCATTTTCCTTCAGCTTAGTCCCGTTATTCATCAGGGCTCGCCACAGCGGAATGAACCTCCAACTATTCCAACATATGTTTTACACAGCAGATGCCCTCCCAGCTGCAACCCAGTACTGGGAAACATCCATACACACTCATTTACACTGATACACTACGGCCAATTTAGTTTACCTGGTTCCCTTGTAGTGCAAGTGTTTGGACTGTGGGGGAAACCGGAGCACCTGGAGGAAACCCACGCCAACACGGGGAGAACATGCAAACTCCACACAGAAATGCCAACTGGACAATTCCGGACTCGAAACAGTGACCTTCTTGCTGTGAGACGACAGTGCTAACTGAGCCACTGTGTCACCTAATATTTAAATTGATGCAGTAAAAGTACCACAAAAATGAAATAAAAAATCTATTAAATTAAATTTATTTAAAATGTATTAAAATATTTCCCAGTAATGGTTTGCAGCCGCAAGGGCATCCGCTGCGTAAAACATATGCTGGATAAGTTGGTGGTTCATTCCGCTGTGGCGTCCCCTGATGAATAAAGGGACTAAGTTGAAAAGAAAATGAATGAATGAATGAATGAATGAATGAAGGAATGAATGAATGAATGAATGAATGAATGAATGTTTTAATATACAAAAATAAACAAATATCAGGAGATCCTGCTGAAACGTATAAAAATGAGGTGATAAATAAAATACTGAAAATAACAAATGTTTACAAGATACAATTCTAAAATTTCTTGAATAGTAAACATCCTTGATTAATCAAAAATTCAATTAAAACAAAAATTAAAACAATAATAAAAAAATCAATGAATTCCAAATATTAATAAATTATATAATAAGGCCAAAAATGACCCTTAAATACAGTGCTCAGCCAAACTGAGTGCACCCTACTATAGTTTTTTTATTTATCTTTTATATTAATATTTTAATTAATATTTATTTTTATAGGCAATGTATTTTGGTGTATATAGACAAAACCGATTTATTAAACAGATATATTTATTCAAATAATATTTTAGTCACCAAACGTATTTAGAAATGAAAAGATAATGCAATTAAATTCAAGCAAAATATTGCAAAAAATAATTACAACCTACAAAATATGAACATTTTTTTTTGCTTCTGTTGTTTTTTCCACTGTTTAAATTTTGTATTATTATTTTTCTATAACATATAAGTTTGGGTGTGCTAGTTTTTGGACCGTTGTTGTACTTGTGTACTTTCCAAGCTGTACTCACATATGCTGAGCACTGTATACTTATTTTGTTCTCTTTCTTGCATTGTATACTGATGCAGTTTTACTCATGTGCTTTATATCAAACTCTCTATTTGTCCAAACTTTCATTACTGTGCAAAAATCTGATAATATCCGAATAATCCGATTTCTGGATTTTTGTATTCCTGTCAATCACTGAGACGCTAATTAAATTACACCCCCTCCTTTTCTGTTGGTCAGAACGCAATAAATAATTCTGCAGTAGCTGATGGGAGAAATCTGACGTTTCCTGAACAGCAATGCTGAAATGTGCTGATGTGTTTTTGCTGTAGGAGACGTGCGGTTCAGTTGGAGGAAGGAGATACGGGGACTCTTCAGCCTGTTTACCAGACCACATACATGCCCTGGGTCATGTTCATGAATAAACTGGGTGAGGATAAGCATTTACAACAACGTAACCTTCAAGAAGGGCCACATTAGACTAGTTTGATTAAACCCTTAGAATACATGACTTGTCGCCTATTCAAGTTTTAGGAAAAGCAAATAATAAGTTGACTTCTAGTTGATCATTTGGGATCAGAAGTGGCTTAAATGAAAGGCAAAGGCCTCTAGATTACACTTATTTTACCAAAATATAATATGATCATGTCTTGATTTTGAATGATTTCATTAGGACAGTGAGGTTTGAGTTTGCTCAGACAAAAGTCTTGTCACTGAACAGAAATAATGTCCTGTATAGAATATAAAGTCATGTCAATAATGTTCATGTCTGGTGACTGGGCTGGCCAATCCTGGAGCACCTTGACCTTCTTTGCTTTCAGGAACTTTGATGTGGAGGATGAAGTATTTAAAGCTAAATCCCCTCATTAATAAATGATCTATTTCTCCTTCAGGTTGTCCGTCCATCCAGCACTGTTCAGCTGAAGTCTCGCATCACTTCCTCCTGCCCTCCGTCCTCACAGAGTTGGTCAATCTGGTCACTTCTCTGGCCAGTGACACCACAGTCAAAGTATTCGAAAGAAGCAGGTGCACCTCTGAATGTTAAAGCTTTGGTCTGTCTCCAGTGTTTCAGGGTTTGCTCAAAGCGCTGAGCTGTTTTCTGTGTGTCTCCAGCTGCCCTCAGGGAGATATTTACATACCTCTGTCAATCATCCAGCACATCAGCCAATCACCTGCCACCACCAGGAGCTTCATTCTCATTGGTCGCAACTTCAGCCAGTGGCATTGCAGTACTGAGCAAGGTATGTCCATTGGGGAGTCTGCAGTGATCGTGTCCTCTTACACACTGATTTAACAGGTTGGATTTGAATCAGAAAAACACCTCTAACAGTGAATCGCAGTTTGTTTTCATGAATAGGTTTATTATGACCACAGTAATAATCCTTAAACAAATAAATGCTCATTTATAGCAATTATTATATCAATGTGATTTAATTCTGAATGCTAGAAAGTGTAAATGATGGGATGTGATTTAGCTGTGATCACACTTATTCATGAACACATACAGTTAATTATTAGCCCCCCTTTGAATTTTTTTTTTTTTTAAATATTTCCCAAATGATGTTTAACAGAGCAAGGAAATTTTCACAGTTTGTCTGATAATATATTTTCTTCTGGAGAAAGTCTTATTTGTTTTATTTTGGCTTGAATAAAAGCAGTTTTGAATTTTTTAAACACCATTTTAGGGACAAAATTATTAGCCACTTTAATCAATTTTTTTTCGATAGTCTACAAAACAAACCATCGTCATACAATAACTTGCCTAATTGCCCTAACCTGCCTAGTTAACTTAATTAACCTAGTTAAGCCTTTACATGTCACTTTAAGCTGTATAGAAGTGTCTTGAAAAATATCTAATCAAATATTATTTACTGGCATCATGACAAAGATAAAATAAATCAGTAATTAGAGATGAGTTATTAAAACTAATATGTTTACAAATGTGTTAAAGAAATCTCTCTGTTAAACAGAAGTTGGGAAAAAAATAAACAAGGGAGCTAATAATTCTGACTTCAACCGTATAAATGATTAGAAGGTAAATTATAAGGCACTGAGAATGCATTATAATGCACACAATAGCCTTTATAATGCATTAAATATTAAGCTAAATCTCAAGAAAACGGTCATATAATCAGGTCATATTTATCCCCAAAATCTAAAGGAAAATGTAAAATAAATAACTTTAAAGCATCTGATTTAAAAATGAAAATAAGCTGTGAGTAAACTAAAACAAGACACCAAGAATCAGCTTATGACTCTGAGCAACAGTGAATAATAACAAGTAGATAATACATTTTTCGGCTTAGTCTCTTTATTTAAAAGGGGTCGCCACAGCGGAATGGACCACCAACCTATCTAGCATATACACAGCGGATGCCCTTTCAGCTGCAACCCATCACTGGGAAACACCCATACACTCCCATTCACACACATACACTACGGCCAATTTAGATCATCCAATTGACCTATAGCGCATGTGTTTGGACTGTAGGGGAAACCAGAGCACCCATGCCAATACTTGGAGAACATGCAAACTACTGTGTAAAACATATGCTGGATAAGTTGGCGGTTCATTCCACTGTGGCGAGCCCTGATAAATAAAGGGACTAAGCTGAAGGAAAATGAATGAATAAAGTCTTAAATTAATTGAAAGATTGTCTTGTCGGCCTAAAATGGGTCCTAATTTTTAAATGTCCATGTACATTTATTTATTTATATTTAGTTTGTTATATTTTGTAAAGCTTGTCTTTTTTTTTTTTGATGGGGCAAGTACAATACTTTTCCTCTGGAAAAAATCTTTAGCATTTAGTCCTTTTTAAAGGTGCTGTATGTGAGTTTTTGACTCTTCTAAATCGTACAAACAGCACAATATATTTGTAGACATTTCAGAAACATGCTAAATGAACATTCATGTTTATCTGTAAAACAATGCTGAAGTCAGATATTCTGCTTTGAAAATGTGTTTTCCCTGCCGGAACGTCTGTCTTTGTTTTGGTTTTTTAACCCAGCCAATTCCAGCTTAGCCAATTATATTTCAGCACTTCGGGTTGCCTTGATGGAAAACAGCGTAAGTCATTCATTCAGTCAGGAAGGCTCTCAAAACATGCGTCCATGACCGAAATGTGACCTCCGGTGGACAGTAGCAGACTCCGAAATGAGAAGCAGATTCAGAGTTCCACATGAGATTATTAATTAGTAAATAATATAAATATCACAAAGGTAAACATTAGGGGAACAGGTTACATTGTTAACCCTGTGTTCTAACAACACGCTTCGTGATTTACAGTGATAAGCAATTGGGCTGTTTGCACCAGACAAAACACCACAGAAGTGTAAATCCATTACTAACGAAATGGTGAGGTTTATAATCTAATTAGTACATATTAAACCTGTTTAACATCATCTAAATGTAGATGCTGAATCACTGATATGTGTTGGTTTGCACAGTTCTAAAGTTCAATTTCAAATAGTATATTTTATTTTGAAGATCTGAGGTGAACTATCTGCTGCACCTTAGGTGATCGGTTTATCCTGTTGTTAAGCTGCAAGAAATAGAAGCCGTTTCTAATATATCAGTTTGAGATGTTGGTTAGAACAAAAACTCCTTTTATTATGGAGAACTTCTAATGTGTGCCATTGCTTTTATTTAAAACATGATTTAAATCAGCCTTTAAGCCGCCTTTCCACTGCACACGACATTTGGACACGACTGTCGGAATACGCCCCCTTGTGGCAGCTGCACAGTATTTTCAGTGTTGTTGTGCACCACGGGGGAGAAGCTGATTCTCACCGTGTCCGA